AGGACCGTCCCCCCCCCCCCCCCAGCCAGGACGCGCCCGGTGTACGCGACGTGGTAAGCCGCCCGTCAGGCCTGCCCCCCCTTTCCGAGGTAGGGACCCCCACCCCGGAGCGAGGACGCCCGAACAGCCACTGACCTGCAAGTCTGTGTCTTTCTCCGCGTCCCTCGCGCGACCCGCCTCCAAGAGAGCTTCGATGGATTGGATCCGCTCCTCCAGCCGCACGGTCTCAGCTTCCCTTGCAGGGAGCTCAGCTCCTCTCATTTCCTTTTAGCCTCGGCGTCGCAGGACAGCAGCTTGGCTTCGAACTCTGCCCCAGGCCGGTGGGTAGAGGAGAAAGAGACAGGTGAGATGCGCACCACCGCCAAGAGGGAGGGAGGACCCGGGCGGCTTGAGCAGCTGTGAGCCGCACGGACACCTGGGCTTCGAACCGCACGTTTCAGAGGGCCAGGTGCCGGGCAGACAGGTGAAGATCACATGCAGAGAGGACAGGCGCTACGGACGGTTATTTACTGGCTCACCGGTCACAATGCTCGTGTGACACCGTCACTCTCACTTCAACGAGAGGTTGACGGATTTTTCACAACAGAGCTGGCAAAAAAAAACAACACCCCAAGCTTTATCCTGCAAGCCCTTGTGTGTAATACAGCAGGGAGCACACGCTTGTTGTCCTCTCCTGCAAGGGAGCTGGGGCTCTATCACCCCCACAGCTGGGCTTGCGGAAGGCCCAGGCTGTGGGTGGAGGAGAGGCCCGGCTGAGATCCCCCCCGCCTCTCCAACTCGCCTGCCGTCCTGAAGCAGGAGAAGTGGCAAGTGCGCTGCAGGACCCCGCGTGAAGCTTTGAGCTCACCAGTGCTTCAGCTTTGGGAGTTCGACCCTTCGCACGACCCTCCCGCGCCAAGCAGAGCGGAGCCCTTAGGGAGGCGAAATTTGGGAACCTCCTGACTTCTTGTGGATTCCCGATGCCTAGAGCAGCTGCCCCTCTCCCGACCACGCTCCCAGGGCTCCTAATCCCCTTTCCCCACATGCGCCCCACTCCTGCTCCCCACTTCACCCGCAGGCCACCAACCAATCCCCATCTGCTCCTCCCAGCTCCCGCCGGGCCCCTGAGGAAGGGCCGGACTCAGATACAGAGACCTGGCCTCCACCACAGGAAGGCCCAGGCTGGGAGAGGGCCCGAGGGGAGCTCTGGGCCTCAGGGCGCGCACTCCCGGGCGTCTCCGCCGCTTCCCTCACCCGCAATGCTCTGCTGCTGGCCCTTCGCCTTCTCCGTGTCCACCAGCAGGGTCGCGTAGCTGGCCTGGGACTTGCGGAGCTCGTCGCTGACTTCGTCCAGCCTCTTCTGCAGCGTCGCCTCCGTTTCTTTCTGAGACGTCTGCCCCAAGGCGGGGAAACAAAGCGCTGGATGTTAAGGCCGGTCTGGAGAGAGCAGTCCTGTCGCATGCCAGCTCCAGCCCGGTCTACGCTGGGATTCCACCGGCACAGCGCCTGGAGCTCCACAACCATCTCCTGCTCTCAACTGGCAGCAAAGACGGTCTGTGCATCACCCCTCCCCCCCACATGCGGCCTCCCTGGTTTGGGGCCGTGACGCTTGCTGTATATTCCTAAGGCGAGGTTTTGCATTGCCCACACCGCACAAGCCCAGGAGCTAGGAAGGCACGTGCATCTCGCCATGCGGGCACAGTAATTCCACGGCCAAGTTCGCTGTGCCCAGTTTGCATGCCTGCTACTTCGGGCTGGTCCAGAAAAATTAAAATGGGATCAAAGGTTCCACTTCTGCCCCTTTAGGAGTCGGTTTCCCAGGGAAGGCCATTTGCACCCCTCGGCGGGGCGGTCCTGCTGATTTTGCTTAGCACAGTAATTCCACGGCCAAGTTTGCTGTGCCCAGTTTGCACGCCTGCTACTTCGGGCTGGTCCAGAAAAATTAAAATGGGATCAAAGGTTCCACTTCTGCCCCTTCAGGAGTCGGTTTCCCAGGGAAGGCCATTTACACCCCGCAGCGGGGCAGTCCTGCTGATTTTGCTTGCCAAAGGCACATGCGAATTGAGTCGCTGAAGCACCCAGCTGGCATAGAACTCAGCCAGTTAGGAGCTGGGTTGCTTGGAATAGGATTCTGGTTAAGTGTGTGTGGCGCAGTGGAAACTTCCGTGTGGTTTGGATGGAGTACGATCCTTCTGCGACCAAACGTAGCAGGGAAAGCGCACGTGGTGACCAGCCCTTCACGGAGAGGCCAGGGCCCAGAATGGGAGGATCACTTTAAAAGATCCATTTCTGCTCCCCTACTCCCTCACACTAGAGCCCCCAGAGAGCATAAAGTTATCTCCCTTTCATCGGTCCTGTTCTTACAGCCGCTGGCAGGGAGGCAGATTGTAAAGTACCTTTCACAAACTCTGAATGTTTTTAGAGGGATGACAATATTGTACAGCACTCAAACTTCACTTGGTTATTGGGCAACACTTTCAGACGTTCCTAAGTCACTTGCGCATCTAAGTCACTTGCGCATCTAAGTCTCCAAGAGAAGATAAACATACGCGCACACACACACACACACACACACACACTTCACTTGGTTATTGGGCAACACTTTCAGACGTTCCTAAGTCACTTGCGCATCTAAGTCACTTGCGCATCTAAGTCTCCAAGAGAAGAGCAACACACCCACCCCATCAGGGATGTGAAAATCTAAAAATATTAACTGTGTAACCGATACCGTTAAAAGAGCTCGGTGGGACTGCAACTCTGCAAGCTGACAGCCCCGCCAGCTCCTGGCCATGCTGGCCTTCAGCCACCATGGGCCCAGTTCAACCATTCACCATTACCGATAAGCACTAGCCTATCAGTTAACCGGTTACATTTTACATCCCTAAACAGTGTGTGAAAATCTAAAAATATTAACTGTGTAACCGATACCGTTAAAAGAGCTCGGTGGGACTGCAACTCTGCAAGCTGACAGCCCCGCCAGCTCCTGGCCATGCTGGCCTTCAGCCACCATGGGCCCAGTTCAACCATTCACCATTACCGATAAGCACTAGCCTATCAGTTAACCGGTTACATTTTACATCCCTAAACAGTGTCCATACA